TTTTTTTTTTTTTTTTTTTTTTTTTGTACCAGGGATTGAACTCAGGACCTTGTGCTTGTGAGGCAGGCAGCGGCACCACTGAACTAAATCCTAGGCAAGTATTAACTTCTTAAAAAGATTTTACCGTCAACAACTAAAGAGTAGAGAAATAAAATTAAAAACCAATAAGCCATATAGAAAACTAGTTTTCATTAATTAAATATTTATACAGAGCTTATAAACTATTAAGCCAGAAATGACTTAATTCAATGGATTTGTCAACTTCTGTGAGTACAGCACTGCAAGGGGAAGTACTCAGATGCAAAGAGAAACAAATCTTATTTTTCACTCCTTACATTAAGACAGTATTCTAGAAAATCAAATCCAAGGTGGGCATAGTGGCCCACTCCTATAATCCCAGCACTCAGGAGGCTGAGGTAGGAGGGGCGCCTCCAGTTTGATACCAGCCTGGGCTACATAGTGAGTTCAATGGGAGCCTGAACTAAATAGTGAGGCCCTGTTTAAACAAAACAAAACAAAACAAAAAAACAGACAGACAGAAAAAGAGTAAGTCTAGAGCTGGACTTGGTGGCTCAGGCCTGTAATCCCAGCACTCTGGGTGGCTGTGGCAGGAGGATCATCAAATCTGAGCCAAGCCTGGGACCATTTCCTTAAAATAAAAAATAAAAAATAAAAAGTTGTGTGTAGGTGGGTGGGGACTGGAGTTGCAGTTCAGGAGTTCAATCCCAGTGCAACGGACCCTTGACTTATGAACCCAATTCATTCGTGAGAGCTGGTTGTAACTCAAGTTGGTTGCTAGTGAAGACTATTTTTCTCATGATAATGGACATATCCATAATGCATTCCAAAACTCCCAAAGCACCCCTCAACTAACTTTTTTATAAAAAGGGCTGTATAATATAATTTACTAGAAACACCAATAATTTTCCTATTCACCAAAAAGTTACAAAATGTGTCTAGTTTACCGAAAACAATTTCATACTGTACTCACCATTTAAGTCGACAACTTTGGCTTGCAGGTAGGAAGGATGAAATGGAAGGTGGTTATTGTTTGGAAGGAGCGACACCTTCCATAAGAGCATCAGGACTTTGGCTCTCTGGTGTCCTTTCTCTCCTTACGAGAGTCTGTAGCCCACTAGGACCTGCTTCTGGCTCACTAGGTTTCATTCTTTTCAGAGCTAAAAACTGGTGTAAGGCTGTCTGTTTCTGCCTTTTCTTTAACACCGTTCTGTAGTATGACATGACACTGTCATTAAGCAAGTGAATGCAACGATTGGCTTTTTCTCTGTCTGGGTGGGTCTTCTCTACAAATATTTGTAGTTTTGTCCATTTTTTTAGGATTTCCTTTATTTCAGAAGAACTACTTTGCTGCACTAATTGTTGACACTCCCCCTCTTCAGAAAGCTCCTCTGCTGCAATTTTCCGAAGTTGCTGAAGCTCCTCTGTAGAGGATTCCTCTGAGTGTTCCTGCACCACTTCCTTAACATCACTGCGGCCCACCTGTGAGCCCATGGACTCTGCTGTAGCAGCCCTTTTATCAGCACTGGCGGCCTCACCATGCCTAGTCACGCTAAGAATCCCAGTTCTTGCTTTAAAATTGTGAAACCACCCCCTACTGGCACGAAATGTTTCACCATGATCACGTGTTGATGGATTATCCTTTATAAGCTCTGCATTTATAGCCCTAGCTTTTTCACATATTATAGACTCAGATAAACTATAACCTGCCGTATGCCTTTCATCTATCCACTCTAATAAGAGCCTTTCTACTTCGTCTAACACTGTTGATCTTGACTTACTAATTTGAGTAACTCCTTTAGCGACACTAGCTTCCTTGTACAAATCTTTTCTCCGTAAGATTGTTGAGATGGTGGATTTCGACATGCTGTACATTTTAGCGAGATCAGTCACACGAATGCCACTCTCATATTGCTCCACAATTTCCTTCTTTTTTTCAATTGTGATTGCTTTCTTTACCTTCCCTTCTTTCCTTAGCTTCTTTTCTAGCTTTTTTGGGGCCATTTTGATAGCAGTTATCAAAGTGACTATATAAAGTACTGATTGAAGTCACGCCCACAAGCACATCTGGATTCAGACTGGCGCTTCCGTTCATTCACTTACATAAACTTTTCTGGCATCGAGTCTTTGTTTACAGCCTCACAAGGTGGTGGCATTCAGGTCGAAACCCAACACTTCGGTCATTGAGTTAAAATTAAATTCTGGTGACAACCCAAGTTTTTCGTATGTGAGATGAGTTATAACTCGAGGGTCCACTGTAAGTAGAGCCAGGCACGGCGGCGCAGGCCTGTAATCCTAGCACTCGGGAAGCTGAGGCAGGAAAACTGCCTTGAATTCAAAGCAGCCTTGGACTAAACTCTGTCTCAAGAAAAAAAAAAAAAAAGAAAGAAAGAAGAAATAAGTAGAAACGTAATTAGTTAATAAAATCACCTCTTAAGTTAGAATATGAAACACTTCCCTAGTATGTTCCCAATAAGATACCCTTTTAACAGGTGGACTTACGACTTAATGTATTACGGTTCAGAATAATTGGGGCCTTCACGGTAGTAACATTCTTCCAATGGACAAGAGTAAACGAGGAGAATACTAATGTTCAACAAACGCACAAGTGTTAAATTGGCCCAATGAGCACACAAAGACACACCCTCAATTTTTCAATGTTCCTTAAATTCAGTAAGTCTTTATTTGTATCGCTTTAATCCAATTGTCAGATCGACCAAAAGGATGGCGAAAAACAAAAACACTCCTTCGCTGCAATACATCTTAGGAAGGTTTAACTTGACGGTAATTCGTGTCAGGGAAAAAAAAAATCCAGCTCTCCGACGCGGTCAGGTAGAACACGCCTTAAAAAGACCGACTTTTCAACGAGACGATGCAGATTCGGTGCGCACGGAAAGCACGTAGGATATTGAGACAGGAGCAACAAGGCCGGGAGAAACAGGCGCGAGCAGTCATCGCCGACCGCAGGCCCGCGCCCACGGGAAACAGGCACGCAAACGGCTCCGTCTCGGGTCTCCGCGGGCCACGAAAGACAACGGACGCGGCG